AGACCGACTATCGCAGCTAGGGGTGAGCATGGTCTGAATGAGCAATTCTTACCCTAAAATCGGAAACCGCCCATTAAGGACCGGTTTCGAAAAATTGAAACTGAGAACCGCACGTTGGTTCCATGGATCCAACCAGAAATCGGACTGCCGATCCGGTCCGGTTTCCGGATGGATCCATGGAACCGATCCCACTAGCCAAGAATGGAGACGGAAAGATGGAGATAAAGACGGAGATGGAGAGTCGGAGACGGTGAAGTGATCATCGATCGAGAAGAGTGAGAAAGTGAGCGTGAGGCGAAAGCGAAAGAAGGTATTTCTCGGCTCAATGTGAGGCTGTGAGAATCGAGCGAGTTAAATTTAGATTAGAGATTTATGATTTTTCTTTTTAAAAAAAATATTATATTTATTATTATATTACCTGTGCAGTCCGGGTGGGCGGGCGGGCGATTTCACATCTAGAATTGGGAACCGGACCGGTACCCACCGGTTTCCAAAAATTAGAACCGGGAATCGGACCGGTTTTCTTGGGAACCACCGGTTCCGGTTCGATTCTAGGCGGTCCGGATAGTTCCCGATTCTTTTGTACATTCCTAATAATGGCGGCACTTGAGTTTGTGTCTGTCCGACTGCTCTCTGTTTTTTTAGCTTTTACTTTTTCTTGTTTTGGTACTTTGAAAGTCAATTTCTTCGAAACATTATCCTGATTGATTCGAGAGGTTCCATGAAAAGTATCGCGCAGCTATTTGGGACTATGATAATGATAATCACGACAAACTTTTTTAAATGGAGAATTTATTTATCTTTGTCATGATTAAAAACTAGGTTAACACAATTAAAAATATCAAATCGGTAAGCCTATGGGCCCCGAATTAGTTTTCATCTTAGAAAAAAATTTCGAATTAGTACTGAGCGGCATATTATTCCTCACACTCGATTTTCGTTTCACAAGAGAATTCCAAACTCATAGCCCAACCCAGATGTACCCTTTGCTGAAATGTATACTTGCCAACATAAGTGGATTTTTCACGTCTGATCTGTCATTTTTCATGCTGGATTCGTCTTGCATTCATCTATCGCATGTGCATTTTAATGGTATATTGAATGGAATGCTAGCAGACGGTAGATTTGATTCATCAATACCGGTTTGGATTTCCTCGCGAGATGAAAATTATTCCGAGGTAAGTGTTTCACGGGATTCCAATTCGGAATTTCTTAATTTGCATTCATTTTTTTTTAAATTTATGGAGGCGTTCTGGGGTTTCATCGAGTGTCATTTTGCAAGAGCAACAAAAAAAGTTAAATTCCCCCAAAAGAATATTTTGAAGAAGCCTTCCATTGAGGGTCCATTTCCTTTGGATTCTAGGGCAACATCTCAAGTCAAGTTGACTTTGAGACATGCTTCGATTTGTTAAGGGAAAGATGCAACTGGGTCGGTCACACTCGCACGAAATGTTTGCCTTTAAAGGTTTTATTGAAGTCTTCAAATCTTGTCATGTATGAGATTTCTAGAAGTACAAAAAGGATGAAAGTAATGTTTGCTTGAGACATCATTCATGAATACAAGATAGATTAATTTAGATGCGCCCTTTGCTCATCACTACGTTGTAAATCGATCGATCGAAATATCAATTTGCCCGGATACATATGATCTAGTAATGGTAGGCGACGATCAATAACTGTGAAGATTCACATACAGAGTTATAACAAAGAGAAGATAAGAAAAGAGCTTAACGTCGTTTCAATGCTTTCTACTTTGCCACTAACGTCGCATGGGATCAAGACCAAGAGCAAGGCGAGTTGGAAAAGTGAAAGTTGGCGATTCCGAGGCCAAGTTAGAGAATACTGGTTGCAGAGCGACTCTCACCAAAAAGCCGAGACCATTCTATATAGGCTCCATTTATTTCGCGAAAAATGAACGATTCATAAAATACTTTCCTAAAAATGATTATTCGTACCGGTCGAAATCATCAGCCAATGAAAAAATTCATTAATTTTCAAGGGTTAATACCACGAAAAACCCTAAACTGGTACACTTGTGACACATTTACCCCAAACTATTTTTTTGATCATAAAAAACCCAAAACTGGTACACCTGTGATAATTTTACCCTGAACTAATTTTTTGACCACCAAAAACCCCAAACTGATACATCTGTGACAATTTTACCCTGAACTTACCACAAAAAACCCCAAACTGGTACGTATGTGACAATTTTACCATGAATTAAAATTTTAATATTATTTTTTTGAATTTTTATTTATTTTTTATTCTTTTCTTTTCTTTTTTTCATCTTCAAACCCTGGCCGGTCGCCGGTATCGGCGAGGGCGCCTCGCCGGATCCGGCGAGCGGCCGCCCTCGCCGGCCGGATACGGCGAGGGCGACCCTTGCCTGCGTCGGGCGAGGCGACCCTTGCTGCGTCGGGCGAGGGCCGCCCTCGCTTGAGTCGGGCGAGGTCGCCCTTGCCACTGGGCGAGCGAGGACGGCCCTCGCCCGACAGCAGGCGAGGGTCGCCCTTGCCCGATTCGGCGAGGGCGACCCTCGCCAGATCCGGCGAGGGCAGCCCTCGCCCGATACCGATGAGGGTCGCCCGACGCCGGCGAGGGCGAGGGCGGCCCTCGCCGGCTTCCCCCTCTGGCCGGTCGCCGGACCGGCGACCGGCCAGAGGTTGAAAGTGAAGGAAAAGAAAAGAAAAGAAAAGAAAAGCAAAAAGAAAAAATTCAAAAAAATAATATTAAAAATTAGTTTTGGGTAAAATTGTCACATGTGTACCAGTTTAGGGTTTTTTGTGGTATGTTTGGGGTAAAATTGTCACAAGTGTACCAGTTTGGGGTTTTTTATGGTCAAAAAAATAGTTTGGGGTAAATGTGTCACAAGTGTACCAGTTTAGGGTTTTTCGTGGTATTAATCCAATTTTCAATGATAATTAATTTCTGAATATTTTCGTTAACAGGGAAAATATTTTTCGTTCGTTCATTTTCGCAAGTGATACAGGCAGTCTTTTAAAAAAAATGTTTTCCAAATAATTCATTTTCCGCCAAATAAACGCAAGCAAAAAATTATAATTATGCTATCTTTTTTTTGTTTTTGCATATATTTGACTTTTTGGTTTTTTTGGTCGAAACCCATATTTGACTTGAGACTATCTAATTACTTGCCAATATTGGCAAACCATACAAGCCAAGAGAATAGTCCAACTGGGGACGTGGCTTGTTGCATCGTCCGACCCCTAATTAGTGGACCGAAGTTTTTGAATTCGGAAATGACAAGGAAGATGCTATTTCCCACGTCATCAAAATCTTTTTTAAATTAATTAATTAATTAATATACATATAATTATTAATCAAATAAATAATAAAAAATTTACTAAAGAAAGGATGTGTGCCTCCGAGAACAGCGCAGGCGGCTTCGGAGGGCGTGCTTGACGTGCCGGGTAAAACGCGGTCCCCGAGAAATGCCCCCGCGGTTCGGCCGAAATCACGAGATTGCCATTTGACCGATCCCCCACACGTGCCCCGCGACTTTTGATTCTGCGTAGCACGTGTTCTTCGCCGCTTACTCTTAATTAATGGAAAAGAAATTCATTATTGGCTTCCACCTATGCAAATCACGGTGATTACATTTTTTTTATTGCCCTTAAAGAAGAGAATTACGTGGATACCACCAGAAATTCTAAATTGGTGAGGATGTGCCGCGTGTACTCCGAACTCGTTTTCGTATAACAAAAAAAAAAAATTCCAAATTGGTGGTCTCGTGCCATATGACTCTGAACTGATTCTTGTGTCATGTGTTACTTCATTAGCTTGCGTCCAATATCTCTTTTATATAGCTCGCGTGGAAACACACGTAACAAACAACTCAAAAATGTTGGTTGCGGAATGGAAATTCAACACAAATGGGTCTTCTAAACAACGCTGTTATGTAGAAATATACCTGATGGAAAATGAATTGAGGCTGGGGAATATGCTAAAACCTGCTAATCTTGCCCTAAAAGCTTCCTCACATTTCAAAAAGCCGCTAAAATTTCTAATTCTTGCACTAATTTTGCTCAAAATATTTGTTACATTTGTTATAATTGTACCGATTTGAACCTTTTTGTGATACAAAAATTATTTAGGAGTAAATGTGGCACTTGTGCATCTGTTTGAGATTTTTTTGTGATGCGAATCGTTTGAAATTTTTTGTGAGACGAAAATTAGTTTGGGGTAAATATGACATGAGTATGCTAATTTGAGATTTTTTATAGAAAAAATTATAAAAATTGTTTATGTCATCGTCGGCCGTGCTACATAGGATGATTGACATTTATATTAGTAATGTCTGGCTAAAATTGACTGGAAGGACTTAATTGGCAAATGGTGAAAATATTTAAGATTAAATTGGCCAAATTAAAAGGTTACAAGCACAGTAGGTTTAAGACTTTTTTGATAATTTTTTCATTATTATTATTAAAGATAATGACACAAACAGTTCGTGAACTTTGGTCCAACGTGCAATGTGGTTTTTGAACTTTAGACTAATATTCAATATGGTCCCTCAACTTTTAATTTATTCATGTGGCCCTTGAAATTTTGGTACATGTTCAACGTAGTCCTTAAATTATATGAAAATATTCAATGTAATTCCCGAACTTGAATTAATGGAAGGACTATATTGAATTATAGTTCAGGGACTAAATTGAATATGAACAAAAAATTCAAGGACGATACTTAATAAATTAAAAATTTAAAGATCACATTGCATATTGAGTCAAAATTCAGGACTGTTCGTGTTCATTTGCCTCGTTGTTTCTATTGTTAATTATTATTATTTTTTTTTTAGGTTTTGGACGGAGTTGTCAACGCTCCCCCCACACGGTCCACGCGCTGTCAGTTAAAATGCTGTTTTTTGTCGAAACAAAACCGTACATGTCTACGCGCTCCCGATTTATTCTGTCCGTCGGAATGGCAACCGCCGTAATTATTAGCTACTCCAGTGGCACTAACTACCGCGCCCCAACTATAAAACTGCCATCGCCATGCTTCCTCTCCGACATCAAGGAACCAAGACAGTCTTCGTTGGACAGGTGCTCTCCAGGAAGACTGCTTAGAAGTTCTCCTTCAGCTAAAGGTGCGTTGAGTGCTCGAGAACGAGCTACTGTTGATTCCCTTTTCGTTGTTTTCTTTTTCAATTCGTGCGAAATGTGTGAGCTTTTGCGGTTTTTTTTTTTGGGAGTTTGAGTTCGTCTGGAGGGTTGTTGTGGATGTGGGTCGGAGTTTCTGGTGATTTCCGTTGGTGGGTGCTTGCTAGTTCGCTCTGGTATTCGCCGTTTGGTCGTTGGATTGCTTTCTTGATGTCTCGATTTGAGTCCTGCCTTGATTCTTGATTTATGGAGGTGGGCACTCGTTAGAATTCTTGCAGTTTCTAAAGATAGCAATCTTTCTTTCTGTTGGTCTGATTGATTGAATCTGATATATTTCGCAAGAACCATAACAGTCTGCAATCGATGGTGTTGAGGATTGTCGGAATCTAGCTTTGTCTCGAAAGTCGGTGGCGAACTCGCCGGAATAAAGGATGGAGTTTTTGCAGAAAGTGTTGTTGCTTTGAATCTAACTGTTGTCTGAGAGATAGTACATGTTGAAAGACCTGATCTTTGCTTCAAACTATTGGCTGTCCTGTTGTTTGGTATCTTTCTTATGGTGGTCAACTAGTTTCTTCTTTTCCCCTTTCGTTTCACTAGTGGCTGTTCCTTCGGCACCTCCGCTTGATTTTTTCCCTATCTTCTTTCCCTTCCTTCTTTTGTCGGTCCCTTTTTTTCTAATTTCGCGTCTTGACCTAGATGCTCCATGCCATGTAATTCTTTAGCTTGTTGATTGTCCCTACTGATGTTATACTTTCCAAATGGGCTTGGCCTTGGGTATGATGAAAGGTACGGGGTTTTGCTGTCGAATATAGACCAGACTCTGAGTGATTCCAGTAGAGAAAGAAGGGCTTAAGGCACAATTGATAGCCACAGTGATGTCGGAAAGAAGCCATAAGAAACCCAAACTGTGATGAGCTTACGTATATGTTGGCTACCGCCAAAGATACCAAATGTACATAGAATCGACATTTTATCATGAATTTTTTAGTTTCCTGTCGCTCTATTGAATTCTTTTTATCTCGCATAACTGTTGAGCATGACTTTTCTCTGTTCATTTCTCTCCATAAAGAACTGGGTCGCTGACGCTTTTCATTTTCCCTCTCTTTCTTGTACAGATATTATTGGATCTGTAAGCGATTGGTCTTGTGGTCTCTGCTAATCATCGTGTTGCATCGAAAGCTTAGTGGGTCTCCTGATTGCTCTCGTAGAATCGCAGGGGTCATTGCACGTTAGTCATTTTCCAATCAGTGATTCATCCCAGTCTGCGGAACACAACTCTCAGCTCGGGCTGAGTGTCCACTGGTGTTATATCCAGATGCCAAGTTTTCAGAAGCACCATGATTCAGCGAATGTCATCAGTTTTTATCAGCAGCCTGTGCAAATGATCGAACCGTGTTATTTGTCCAACTACTAGCTCATGGACAGCAGCATGAACAAAGGTTTGGTCAGCCATGGATCTGACGCGTCGTTCCAGACCTACGGCGAACAAATTTTCACCCTCGATTCTTCCACATCAGCTTCTGGCTTTGTTTCCTATGATTCTGCTTCCAATGTCAGCACCTCGCCTGGGACTACCTTTGTGAAGTCCTTTCTCTCGGATCAACGTCTTTATGTTGAAAATTTGTCCGGGTCGCCATTAAGCGTCTCTTCCATTGCTGACTATGGCAATGATTTCCAAGACAAATTGAGGGAATTGAAGATGTCATTGTTGGGACCGGAATCAGATATCAGCGATTACCAGAGTTGTTGCTTTAACAACGACTCCCACAATATTTTTCCCACATCAATGTGGCATTCGAACCGAGTTAGAGATATGGCGCCTAAACCTGACCTGAAACAAGTGGTAATTGCCTGTGCAAGAGCAATCTCTGATGCTGATGCTTCTAATGCAGCAGGTCTAATGGATATGCTGGAGCAAATGGTGTCGGTTTTGGGCGATCCAGTTCAGCGCCTTGGTGCTTACCTCTTGGAAGGGCTTAGGGCGAAATTGGAATTTTCCGGGAGCAGAATTTACCGAAGGCTCAGGCGCAAAGAACCTACGAGCTTGGAATTGATGACTTCCATGCATTTTCTCTATGAGATCTGCTCCTACTGGAAGTTTGCATATGTGTCCGCTAATGCCGTCATCACCAAAGCCATGGAAAACGAACAGAGAATTCACATCGTCGATTTCCTGATCGCGCAGGGCAGCCAGTGGATTCCTTTCATCCAGGCCCTTGCGCAGAGGCCTGGTGGACCCCCGCTCCTCCGCATCACCGGCATTGACGATTCTGATTCAGCTCATGCTCGTGGCGCGGGGCTGGAGATTGTAGGCCAGAAGCTTTTGTCTATTGCAGAGTCATGTAACGTGCCGTTCGAGTTCCACGACGCAGCCGTTTCTTCATCTGAGGTTGAGCTACAGAACCTTATGATTCAGCCCGGGGAAGCCTTGGCAGTGAACTTTCCTTACATATTACATCACATACCCGATGAGAGCGTGAGCACTCAGAATCACCGAGACCGGGTGTTGAGACTGATCAAGAGCTTGTCGCCGAGAGTGGTGACTGTCGTGGAGCAAGAATCCAACACCAACACATCCTCATTCCTTCCGAGGTTCGTTGAGACATTCGACTATTACAAGGCCATGTTTGAGTCCATCGACGTGGCTCGGTCGAGGGACGACAAGCAGCGGATCAGCGCAGAGCAGAACTGTGTGGCCCGGGACATTGTGAACATGATAGCCTGCGAGGGGCCAGAGAGGATGGAAAGGCAGGAGTCTTTTGGCAAATGGAGGTCGAGGTTTCAAATGGCCGGCTTCAATCAGTTACCGCTGAACGCATCGGTTACTCGTGCTGTACTCGACATGCTGAAGCAGTATCATGGGAATTATAGAATCGAGGAGAGAGAGGGGGCTCTATATCTCGGCTGGATCCGTAAAGCTATGTCGACTTCATCGGCTTGGAGGTGAATCTTGACATTTTGTGCTAGTTGGTGGCTTTGTAAATTTTGCTGTTAACACTGTAGTTGCTCCAACCCATATGAGGAGGAATGTTGTCTAGATATATACTTTGATTGAGTGCTCACAATTCATAGGGCACTAGTGCACAACATCGATTTGCGTTTCTTGTTTTTGCCATTTTCTTTGTTCCTCGCTCTCTGGGATTGCGAACTTCGTAAATGTCCACACGACAAAAGGAGCAGGGTAGCATGGTTTGTCTGCAATTTTGTACACAGCTTAGTATATAATAAAGAAAAGCTTGTTCGAAGTCCAACACTGCAAAGTTGACAAAGGCGTTTGAGGCCATTTTCGGCCGGAAAGCCACTTTTTAGTCTATGTTTCCGGCCATTCTTTGCAAATTTGGCTTCTACCGGTACCCCCATATCGTTTCTCGTTCGTTTGACGTAGGTACGACAGCCTTGCGTAGGCCTATTCGGGCTCTGGAATGGTTGCTCATGCACATAACATCATCAAACTATTGCGAGTCTTGAACTTGATCTTTGGCCTACCATCATTTTTGCCGGCGAAACTCTCTGATGTCACCGGATAGCTCCATCAAGATATTTGCCATGTTTTCAATCAATTCCTGCGACATTGCACAAAAGGAAAACTACTACCGTAGCAACAAGAAACGGGATTTTCCGACGAACACGATGAAATCTTGAGTCCTCAGACGAGAAAGAACTCGGGGGCTAGTCTTTATAGTTCAGAGTTCAGACTGCTCGCATGCCTGTTTGAGTGAAACCACGAAAAGAGTTCCACGAGAGGCGACGCCATAGGAAAGATCACATTGAAGAGAAAATTAAGGTGAAGAGCATGCTGGGTTTCCTCTTTCTATGTGGGCATGTCCAACTACATACGAAAGCTTAAACTACCGGGATTAATAAGTAAAAAAGTGAATTGTAATGCAGAAAAGGTAGTCTAGGATGCATTTTGTACCGCAGTTTGTCGATCGATCAAAGATGATTCTTCTTGAACAAACAAGCAAAACAAAATAATGTTTTCATTCGTTTTTGAATCGGAACGAGTGCAAAGATTCGAAAATGAATGAAAAGAAGTTTCAACTGTTGTGAATAGTTCGTCTGAGTATCAACTGTTGGAAATATGGGATAAATTGATGGGTGAATGAATGATAAATTGATGCTCAAAGAACACCCTTGAGTTGGAAGTGGGAAGTGGAAAAACACTATTCCCACATCGAAAAAGAAAGAAGGCTATGGAGTGCTTTATATACAGTTACACTTATTTGAAGTGGTAATTATCATAGCACAAACTCTCTGCCTCGCGCGCAGGCGCAGGGGGGGTGCAAATCCGACGCCCGACAAGTTGAAACTTGGGCGCGAGCGCACATCCCGCGTACACGATTGCAGGACCGAAAAATGGGCCTCGCGACGAGCCCAATTTTGCCTTCTGATTTATTTTTTTTCAATTCAAACTGTTACGAATTTCGACAGATTTAATCGGCTGTTATTATTCCCGAATTGCTCTCCCCTCTGTTCCTTTTTATCGAAATCATTCTTCCTCTAGTTTTACACTCTCTCTGCATTTGCACTGTTTTACGGTAGTGTTCATTTCGAGTTTGTTCAAGTTCGCGGGAAGCTTGAAAGTGCCGTGCTCTCTTCTTCGCTGTCAGCCGTTGTATCTGGGAGACAGACGTTCCACGAAAACCTCGGTCGCGTCTTGGAGGGAACGAATCTGTTTTAAGGAATCTGTGTCAAACACGGGCCTCGGTATTCATTTGTATCGATTCCAACTTTGTTATTGCAATTTCGTTTCTTTACAATTATGTATTGTTTGTAATATTTATGCTAATGCCGATTTGAATTTTCGTAACAATCTTAAAACAGAGTCGTGCTTTTACAAATTCAAATGGCTACTGGTAAAGAAGTCGTGGATGTGGCTGCTGGAAACGATGGTGTCGATGTGGTTGCTAACGACATCACCAAAAACTCTGCCTATGCCTCAGCTGTCCAACTGACTGGCTCATCCTCTATTCCTTCTGCGGTTTCTGTCCACCATGGTGAGAAACCTGAAAAGTTCGACGGATCGAACTTCAAAAGGTGGCAGCAAAAGATGTTGTTTTATTTGACAACTTTGAATCTTGCGAGATTCTTGACTGAGGAAGCTCCTAAGTTATCCAATGGAGAAACGGATAAGCAAGTCTTCAATGCTGTTGAAGCATGGAAGCACTCTGACTTCCTGTGTCGGAACTATGTCATGAATGGCTTACATGACTCATTGTACAATGTCTATTGTGCAAAAACGACGGCAAAGGAGTTATGGGAAGCCTTGGATTGGAAATATAAAACAGAGGATGCCGGAGCAAAGAAATTTGTTGTCGGTCGATTCCTTGATTATAAGATGGTGGACTTTAAAACTGTGATCAGTCAAGTGCAAGAAATTCAAGTGATCTTGCATGAAATTCTGGCTGAGGGAATGATCTTGAGTGAAACCTTCCAAGTGGCTGCTATTATTGAAAAGCTACCTCCTGGGTGGAAGGATTTCAAGAACTATCTCAAGCATAAGCGAAAGGAAATGAACCTGGAAGAGCTGATTGTTAGACTTCGAATTGAAGAAGACAATAGAGGATTTGAACGCAAAGGGTTCAATCCTACTACAGCTAAGGCAAATGTTGTGGAGCTTAGGCAAGGCCACAAGAACAAGAAGATTGCCAAGCCAAAGTTGGGACCAAAAGGAGGAGTTTCCAAGAACAAGTTTCAAGGAAAATGCTTCAACTGTGGTAAAATGGGCCATAGATCTATGGAATGCAGACTTCTGAAGAAGAAGAATTATGAGACAAATATTGTGAGTGGCATCGCTCAAGACGTGTCAAACATAAACCTTTCTGCAATGGTTTTTGAAGTAAACTTAGTTGGGTCCAATCCGAAGGAATGGTGGATTGACACTGGTGCTACTAGGCACATATGCTCCAATAAGGACCTGTTCACAAATCTTGAACCAATTAATGGGGAAAAGGTTTTTATGGGAAACTCTACCTCTTCTGCTGTCGAAGGCCAAGGGAAGGTGTTGCTGAAGATGACCTCAGGAAAAGAGCTGACTCTAAACAATGTTCTTTATGTGCCAGAAATCCGAAAGAACCTGGTTTCTGGGTCTCTGTTGAACAAGCATGGATTTCGTATGGTATTTGAGTCAGATAAAGTTATTTTGTCTAAATCCGGGATGCATGTGGGGAAGGGATATGTAACTGATGGGCTTTTTAAGCTCAATGTAATGACAATTATCAATAAAGATAATAAGTCTTCCGTTTATTTGCTTGAGTCTTCCAATTTATGGCATGGTAGACTAGGACACGTTAATTATGATACATTGCGTAGATTAATTAACTTGGAACATATACCTTCATTTCAAATTGATTCAAAACATAAATGTGAAATTTGTGTTGAGGCAAAATTAACGAGATCATCATTTCAAACAATTGAAAGAAACACCGAACCCCTTGAATTAATTCATAGTGATGTTTGCGATTTGAAATTCGTACAAACGAGAGGTGGTAATAAATATTTTATTACCTTTATCGATGATAACACTAAATACTGTTATGTGTATTTGCTTAAAAGCAAAGATGAAGCCTTAGAGAAATTTATTCTCTATAAGAATGAAGTTGAAAATCAACTTAATAAGAGAATTAAAAGATTGAGAAGTGATAGAGGTGGCGAGTACGAAGTACCAATTGGTGAATTCTGTGCACAACACGGAATTATACATGAAATAACTGCGCCTTACTCTCCTCAATCAAATGGTGTTGCTGAACGTAAAAATCGCACATTGAAAGAAATGATGAACGCGATATTACAAAATTCAGGTTTGCCTCAAAATATGTGGGGAGAAGCTATATTGTCAAGCAATTACCTTTTAAATAAGGTACCTCGAAAGAAAGAGGATAAAACCCCTTATGAGTTATGGAAAGGTAGGAGACCATCCTACAAACACTTACGAGTGTGGGGGTGTCTTGCAAAAGTGGCGGTTCCAACACCAAAGAAGACAAAGATAGGTCCTAAAACAGTGGACTGTATCTTTATAAGCTATGCACATAACAGTAATGCATATCGATTTCTTATACATGAATCTAAAATTCCAGATATACACAAGAATACGATCATGGAATCTAGGAATGCATCATTCTTTGAAAATGTATTTCCTTGTAAATCCAACAATGGATCAAGTTCATCTAAACGAAAGAATGAAACTATGAATGAAGAAAGTCACGATTCGGCTCATGAAATTCATGACTCAGATCATGAACTAGAACCGAGACGTAGCAAAAGAGCAAGAGTGGAAAAATCTTTTGGAAATGATTTTCTAACTTATTTGTTAGAAAAGGAACCATTAAATTATGCAGAAGCTGTAAATTCTTCTGAGGGACCTCTTTGGAAAGAAGCAATAAAAAGTGAAGTTGATTCTATTTTGCAGAATCATACTTGGGAGCTAGTGAATCTTCCTCCTGGTTGTAAGCCTTTAAAGTCCAAATGGATTTTTAAAAGGAAAATGAAAGCAGATGGCTCCATTGATAAGTACAAAGCCAGACTTGTGATCAAAGGATACAAACAACGAGAAGGCTTAGATTACTTTGATACTTATTCTCCTGTGACGAGAATAACCTCCATTAGGATGATAATTGCAATTGCAGCATTGCGAAATCTGGAAGTACATCAAATGGATGTAAAAACAGCTTTTCTAAATGGTGATTTGGATGAAGAAATCTACATGGAACAACCTGAGGGTTTTATAGTTCCAGGACAAGAAAGGAAAGTCTGTAAATTGGTGAAATCATTGTATGGCCTAAAACAAGCACCAAAGCAGTGGCATGAAAAGTTTGATAATGCAATGATTACCAATGGTTTTAAGATCAATGAATGTGATAAATGTGTCTACATTAAAGAGACGACAAATGGCTATGTCATTTTGTGTCTTTACGTAGATGACATACTAATTGTTGGTAGTGATGATAAAATAATCAAATCTACCAAGTATATGTTGAATTCAAGATTTGACATGAAAGATATGGGACCTACTGATATGATTTTAGGAATTAAAATCACAAGAACATCAGAAGGTCTTATTTTAAACCAGTCACACTATGTGGACAAGATTCTTGAAAAATTCAACATGAATGATTCTGGTATTACTAGAACACCATTAGACAATAGCCTTCATCTTTCCAAGAATAGAGGAGAGGGTATTTCTCAAGTAGAGTACTCTAGAGTTGTTGGAAGTTTAATGTACTTAATGAGTTGTACTAGACCAGACATTGCC